AACGATATACAACGTAGATAGATAGATATATAGATAATATACAACGCATAGATATACAACGTATATAGATAGATATACAACGTAGATAGATAGGCAACGTATATAGATAGATATACAACGCAGATAGATATATAACGTAACAACGTAGATAGAACGTACAACGTATTTAGATAGATATGTAACGTAGATAGATATACAACGTAGATAGATAGATATACAACGTAGATAGATAGGCAACGTATATAGATAGATATGCAACGTAGATAGATATACAACGTAGATAGATAGATATACAACGTAGATAGATAGGCAACGTATATAGATAGATATACAACGTAGATAGATAGGCAACGTATATAGATAGATATGCAACGTAGATAGATATACAACGTAGATAGATAGATATACAACGTAGATAGATAGGCAACGTATATAGATAGATATACAACGTAGATGGATAGGCAATGTAGATAGATAGATATACAACGTAGAAAGATATACAACATAGATAGATATACAACGAAGATAGATAGGCAACGTATATAGATAGATATACAACGTAGATAGATATACAACGTAGATATATAGATAGGCAACGTATATAGATAGATAGGCAACGTATATAGATAGATATACAACGTACATAGATAGATATACAATGTAGATAGATATACAACGTAGATAGATATACAACGAAGATAGATAGATATACAACGAAGATAGATATACAACGTAGATAGATAGATAACGTATATAGATAGATATACAACGTAGATAGATATACAACGAAGATAGATAGGCAACGTAGATAGATAGATATACAACGTAGATAGATATACAACGTAGATAGATATACAACGTAGATAGAAAGGCAATGTAGATAGATAGATATACAACGTAGATAGATATACAACGAAGATAGATAGATAGATAGATATACAACGTAGATTAGATATACAGAAAGGCAATGTTATAGAAAGGCAACGTATATAGATAGATATACAACGTAGATACAACGTAGATAGATAGATAGGCAACGTAGATAGATAGGCAACGTATATAGATAGATATCCAACGTAGATAGATAGATATACAACGCAGATAGATAGGCAACGTATATAGATAGATATACAACGTAGATAGATAGGCAACGTTTATAGATAGATATACAACTTAGATAGATAGGCAATGTAGATGCATTGTACATAGATATTATACGAATTGCTTGTGTTTCATGCATGTTAAATTACAGAATACATGTTGTTGTAACCGGATAAACTTTGTTGCCAGTCATCCACAACACGATGAAGCTCGCTTGATCTGTACATGACAGACTAAATTTTGTTATACTAATAATTTTTAGATAAGATAACAGTATTTCTGGAACTATATATTCGTCCAACAGGTGGCCAGTTGCGACATTCCACAGGGCCATGGGTCTAATTATCTACTGCGTTCTACATTCTGGAAAAGGCACGAGTGTTGTAGTTCACAGTTTTATGTTAAGTGTTGTGGCTCCATGTCTCTGTCATTTTATTTCTCCACCCTATTTGATTGTTTGTTGTTTAACACCAGCAATAATCCAACTATATGGTTGCGGTCTGTACATAATCCGGTCTGGACCAGATAATCTAGTGATCAACATCATGAGCATCGATCTACGCAATTGGTTTAGTTTGCTTGTTTGTTGTTTAACGCTGCGCTCAGCAATATTCCAGCTATATGGCAGCGGTCTGAAACAGACGCATTCGGGATACGATGACATGTGGCAACCAAGTCAGCGATCCTGTCCACCGGACCCCGTTGGCCGCCTCATATGCCCTATTTGTAATGCCGAGTGTAGAGTTTCCTCTGGTTCTGAATCTCCTGTCTCCAGGGTCATGAGGGTGGTGTGTTTCTATCAGTTATATATTATCCGAGACTAAGAGTATGGTTATAGCTGGAGGCCGAGGGGATGTTTGAGTGGGTGGTATATACAGTGCCTTCTGGAAACAGTCGCGTTTTGCCTTTCAACAAATATCATATTTGACTAGCCGCCCAAATTCCCTATAGGAGGAGCGGGGATAGCCTAGTGGTTACAGTGTTCGCTCGTGACGCTGAAGACCCGGTTCGATTCCCCGCGTGACCACCGAACACTTTAACCACAAGGCTACCATACCGAACACTGTGGTTGAAGACTTCAAGTTTGGCAAGTCATCAATTATTGTTGATTAAGTATGGTTTTATGCCGCATTTTGCAATATTCCAGCATTATCACGACAGGAGACACCAGAAATGGTGAACCCAAATGGGGAATCGAACCCGTGTAGTCCTGTAGTCCCGTGAAGAGCGAGCGCTTTAACCATTAGGCTACCCGACAATTATTCTTGGACTGATCGGGTGGTCAGGCTCGTTGGCTTGGTTGACACATGTCATCGGTTCCCAATTGCGCAGATCGATGCTCATGCTGTTGATCACTGGATTGTCTGGTCCAGACTCTATTATTTACAGAGCGCCGCCATATAGCTGAGTGCGGCGTGAAACCAACCTCACGGACTCATTCTTGAAAGGTCATAGTTACTGTAATCATGTTGTACTCGTATCTCGCATAACAATTTGTATTGTATATTTAGTGCAGTCTAAGTAAACTTCAGTATTATTCGTTACACTACTATACTCCAATAGAGGAGTGTAACGAATAGTACTGAGGCTAAGTTTACTTAGACTGATATTTAGTGAGTCTTTTATCTTTTGCGTCGAATCGATAAACCAAAAATCCTTAACTGTGGCCTTGTCCATTTTTGCCAGTGTGAACGTTTACAGTATAATCGGCAATCACATCGTCGTTGGGTATCCTCTGTAATTTGTTTAGCAGTTCTTTCTAAGCTGTAATTCTGAAATGATTGATATGTAAGCGCTGAAACATCTTCAAAGACATTTTGAACAAAAAGGCTTGGAAAGCAATCCAACTCTTATCATTTCGTAACCAGCTTGTGACCTGGTCCGGTAGCTGGATCAGTCTGACCGGCGATAATGGCGTTAAGTCTGACGTGTACGGGAACACGCGCCTGCTGTGGTGTCTGGATCCGATAGACAGGAGACAATAGGGGTTATCGCTGTAGTGGTCACTGCGACACCAAACCATGGGCTACTAAAGCTATCTGTTTGTCATGCTCCGATCTGACTCTCTGGTCACATTGCCAAGGGCACGGGGGTCCTAGACTGACATTTAGTACCAGAAATAAAGTGTATTACATAATATATATTTGCATACGAAACAAATCCACTTGGAGCACAGACCAATCCTAAATTTCTTGGCACAGAGCTGGGTCATCTGTGCCAAATGATTGTAGACTTGAGTTGGACTCTTCTTTAATTTATTCTCTAGGGTCTGGGAGACAAATGAAGCTGCGTCCAATATTCGTTAACAAATCCAAGATACACCATGATGACCATCGCTTTGTCCATCATGCAAGACTCAACCATTGCTTTGTGCAGTATACAAGTTTCGCCCTGATCATGTTCGTTGGATTTTTTGGTATGCAAGAATCACCCGATTATATTCGTTGGTACGTGGGCTATTTAAGACTCGCAATGAATATCGTTATTGCTTTGTCCAGTATACAAGGTTTAGCTGATTAGTGATTACTATCATTGTTATTTCCGTTAATTTACATCAATTAACATCGCTGTTTTGCCACCTATGCAAGATGCACACTGATTATTTTCACTGTTTTGTCATTTACGCAAGATTCACACTGATTATATTCACTGTTTTGTCATCCCCGCAAGTTGCACACTGATTGTTTTCACTGTTTTGCCACCTATGCAAGATGCACACTGATTATTTTCACTGTTTTGTCATCTACGCAAGATTCACACTGATTATATTCACTGCTTTGTCATCCATGCAAGAATTGCAGTGATTACCGTTGCTGTTTCTTCATCTATGCAAGATTCACAGTGATTACCATTGCTGTCATGTCATTCATTCTGTTTGGACAGCATACCGAACTCATGTTTTCATGAACACCTTGTCATAACTGAACTTCTGTTGCTGCTTAAAAGTTGTATGCTTCAGGTGACAGGCTTCTGTAGTAATATGGAAGACTTGGGTTACATATGTTACCTTTCACCACTTTCTAGAAATAATTTAACTTCTTTTCAGTACAGGTTGAGAATGTATTGATTGAGTTTAGTTTTACGGTGCACTCAGCAATAGCCCAGCTGTATGGCAGCGGTCTGTAAATAATCGAGTTTGGACCAGACAATCCTGTGATCAACAGCATGATCATCGATCTGCACAATTAGGAACCGATGACATGTGTCAACCAAGTCAGTGAGCCTGACCACCCGATCCCGTTAGTTGCCTCTTACGACAAGCATGGGTTACTGAAGATCAGTTCTTACCCGGATCTTCACTATGGAGAATGTATGGATGTCAGCTTCTTTATTACGAGGAACACCACATTTCAGAATATATTCTTAATCCTTCATTCACCCTTATGAACTAGTATGTTCCTCATAATAAAGAAGTTGACATCCATAAATTCTCACCTTTTGCTCAAAAGAAGTAAATTCTTTTCAGAAAGTGGTGGCCTCACCTATCACTGCAAAATACTGTTCAATGACTTTCTTTTGAGAAACGACCCTTGAAAATCTGGGTTAGAATTGATCTTCAGTAACCCAAGCTTGTCGCAAGAGGCGACTAATGTGGACACATGTCATCGTATCCCAATTGTGTAGACCAATGCTCATGCTGTTGATCACAGGATTGTCTTGTCCAGACTCGATTATTTACAGACCGCTGCAATATAGCTGGGATATTGCTATAACTCACTCTCTTGCTCTTTAGAGAAACATACATTTCAAGAGATAACATATGCATGCTGGTCAACAAGATAAAGGACCAGCTGACACATTGGGAAAATTGTGATCCTGTGAACCACCAAACTTGTCGGACTTTCTTCTTCAGCATCAAGTCCCCCGAAGTGACCATGGTGCAAAGTACAACAAAGAACTGTGTTATAATCACCTTTATTCCACCCTAATGTTTCTGACCACACAGGTGTATGTTAATACTATGTACATCCACATAGGAATTCCTGACAATGTTACATACCTAACTATGTACACAAAGTGAGAACTATATTACAGGTATACCTATCAAGGTGCTATACAAGCATACATATACATACACATACCTACAGATGCACTGCTGGGAACTTAAAGGAACACTGCTTTACTGCCTTGAGTTACTTTTCTGTCTCTGTCAGTAATTTATGACTTGTGTTAAACTGTGACATTGTGTATCTGGGTTGTTAAAAGGTACATTGATATTTATTTATGTTTGTTTGTTGTTGAACGCTGCACTCAGCAATATTCCAGCTATATGGCGACAGTCTATAAATAATTTAGTCTGGACCAGACAATCCAGTGATCAACATCATGAGTATTTATTTTAAGTCTACAGACAATGTGGGTTTCGGATGGTCTTTTGACTTCCAATTTGACTTTGCCCAGTAGCTGTCTCAGGACAACTAGTTGAATTACTTTGTACAGAATGTCTTGTCAGTGGATTGCAATGCTGTCATTCTTCATGTCAGTCTGTAAATTACATGATTGTGCATTTCATGTAATGAATACATATCTGCTGACATATCAACTACTGACAGACTAGACATGATGGCAGTTCAGGTTCACAGTGGTTTCAAATCTACTCCGTGCATAACCATACCCCAGTTTCCATCAGTGCAAATGTACAAATTAGAAAGATTCAATGGTTCAACCAGTTGCTGAACTCGAGACAGAACTGTCTCCAGTAACCTAGAAATGTGGTCTCCCTTGAGATGACTATCTGGTAGTATAATCCAACAATGCTATCCTGCATATACATGGTGTCGGTAGCCTGACTGCATAACTGATGAGGTGAGAGAGACAAGGATGATGTCTAGGTCATATGCTATTAGGGAGGAACGCTGTATATAATTACAGGCTACAACAGCTTGCGTGCATGGCCCTCTTATCTCTATCCTATTATGCCTGCACACAGGACTCGCTAGTTGACTTTGTCCTCATGTCAATGCCAAATGTAATTAGTTCTTAAAGTGCCCAAGAAATTCTAAGAGTGATAAAGGTGATAGTTGAGAAATCAGTAAATCTGAAAGTTAAGGTGTCTGGAAATTTGAGGTAAAATGAGATCTTTTTGTGCAAGTGTTGTATATTTGTCAAAGGACAAAGCTGAAACATGAGAACATTGACATAAACCTACTGAATGAACAGCAAATTAGATTGAAGAATGCAGGATGCAGTCCAAAAAGAAAAGAAAAAAAAAGTACATACAGAACAGAGAGTGAACTGCCAAATAATTGACAATTTTTTTGTGCAATTATTATAAGTTGTTAAACCTCACATAGAGTTCTGGACATGACCCAGAATTTGAAGTGTTTGTGAGTTTGCTTAATTTAGTTATACATGCGATGGGGACCTGGATCCTTGCACGATAGTAAAATAAACAGTTTGGAAGGATTAACATAACTGGAACTAATCAAGTGGATAAAACAAATGACAGAAAATGCAACATTGTTATCTTCAGATTAACTGCAATAATACAACGTGCAAGAATTATTTCTCATTATGCCCCTAAAACAGAAATGTGACACTATCCATGAACTTGCTTAATTGAATATTCTATTCAATATGTGTGTTACGGTAAGCTATTGACTGTTAGGTTTCATGTTGTGCTCAACAATAACGATTACTTCTCCCTGCATTACATTACAAGACCTGCATCTGCTTCACAACTCCGAGCATAAGATAAACCAGCTTCTGTTGCTCTTGACAAAGCATCAGACTGACACCTCATCACATTTCATGTTCCCTCAACAAAATTTAGATTCAACTCGACAAGGTAAATGAGGAGAATCAGAAGGCTGTTTAGCTTATAAATGAAGTATTTGACATATAAACCCTTGTCTTTCCTAACATAGATGATATGCCACGGTTTGCAATTAGCTGATGAATCATGCCCCTCATAATGGCTGTTGCATGCCAAGCAAACAACCTCATCTTGTCCCAAGTAATCCATCATAATTACATGTGCAACAGAGTCAACATCTAGGCCACGATCACGGAATGATTAATGACAGAATAAATTGATTTCATGGTAAGGTAAACCTATTTTTTAATAATAAATGTACACATATAATCAAGATAAATTACCCAGGAAAGGGGGGATGTGCTGAGGGAAAGAGAGCAGTGACTGTCAAAACAGATATGGGTTCATTAACTGCAAGAAAAGTTTTTCATATTTTGTTTTTGCAGGACTGGTTTTACTTCAGAATTCCTTCTGCGGTTACAAACCCAAATGCAGCAGAGATAATAACGTTGTGCCTATAGCTGAGACAGATTATCGGGCTAATTATGCTGCAAGCTATTCTCAAACCTCTGTGCATGTCTGTCGTTTGTTAACATGGCTTACCTCCTTTGACACATGTAAGCCGTATCTATTTTAAAAGGAAATGGAAAACAACCTATTCTTTTAACAGGAAAGTGATAAGGTTTTAATTACATTCAGTTAATGCTCACCAGGATTATCATTCCTTTCCTTATTAGCATTATTCCAGCTCTAACATGTGGACTGGAACTCATTGACTCTGCACTAGAAAATCCAGTGATTGATATTATGAACACTAAAACGACGAGTATGATGACATCAGTTAACAAGTCACTGAGCCTAACCCACGACTCTATTTAGTTACAAATGGTCTGTTTATTCTTACTATCAGTATACTGCCATGGACCCATTTTAATCAGGTCTCCCAACAGTGTCCTTTATGTTGGGAACTTTGTTGACCAACTGAGAAACAAACTATGACATCACTTCTGAGTGATAGATACCATGGTCCCGATCCAGAAAGCGTTTGTAAATGTTACAACCTGTGGTAACTCTACACTTTATTATAGGCTTACGATTGTCGTAGTGCTACGAAGGTTTTGTAGATAGGGACTCATAAGTTGCAAGGTGGTTTAGAGTAAGCCCGAGTCCTGTTTGGGGGATTGATCACAGATCTGTATTCATTGTAGTACAATGTTAAAGATGCCAACACTGGACAAACATATCATTCCTATCTCTGTATCAACATGAATGATTGGAATGTTATGGCATCCATATATGCCACAGACTTTTCTGAACCCCCCACCAAAAACACCCCACATGCCTTGTTCTACTTGATGTAGTATAAATAGCAATCTCAGTTTGGACTTGACCCTGACCCTGTTGAGCTAACCCCCATGCCTGGCTATGACAATGTCAACAAGCTCTGTCCGGTGATGTCATTGTCTGCTGATCTCCTGACTCTCTGCTGGGGCATTCAGGAAGAAGAAACACAATTGTCCTGCCAAAAATTCATCAGGGATTTCCTTTCCCAAGTTAAAAATATATCCTGTCAAATCAGCTTTCCTTAAAGCATTACTTTCAAAGACAGCTCATATCATTAATGACTCGCAAAGATCCGGGTTAGAATTGGTCTTCAGAAACCAATATTTGTCATAAGAGGTGACTAATGGGATCAGGTGGTCAGGCTCGCTGACTTGGTTGACATATGTCATTGTATCCTGAGTAGATTGATGTTCATGATGTTGATCAATGGATTGTCTGGCCCGCCGTCATATGGCCGGAATTTTGCTAAGTGTGGCGTTAAACAACACACAAACAAACAAAAATCACATCATTGTAATCTTCAAAACTGCCATGTGAAGTTATTCTTATGACAAGCAGGCTTAGGGTGTTGGGATCTTTACCCTTCAGCATCACTGTTAGAACTACCCCTAGCTCTCCTGCTACTCACTGCAGCTAAACCTTAAGTTGACAGTGCTGTTAAACTGGCACATGTGACTACACACAGGCCGTGTCTCTACAAGAATGAATTTACAGGGGCTTCACATACTTGAAACTTGCTGACAATGCATGTTCAGTTGGTGCCACATACACCCACTGCATTGCTATCATGGAAGATTACCGATACAAGGTCAGGTGAACAAGGTCTCGCAATCTGTACGACACACCCACTACTCTGCCATAGCTGTGATAGGTTGTCTAACAAACAGTATAGACACAGTACCCATGTATCGAATTGAACCTGGGTCATTGGCATGATCGAACACTACCACACTGCCCCTAACACATTAATAAGGATTACTTAATGTATAGATGTGGCCAAACCTACTCCAATATATGCCAAACCTACTCCAATATATGCCAAACCTACTCTAATATATGCCAAACCTACTCTGATGGCCAAGCTGTGGTATTTGCTAAACACATGATCAGTTATTCTTGACTCTTGTCCCAGACAACAGAATCTACTCAGATGAGTTTGCTGGAGCTGCCCTCACATTTAATGTCCTGATTTATTCTACTGCCGGCAGTACAGGAAAGGCTATTTGGTAATTGAAAGGGTTGCAGTAAGTGGCTGCAGTGCAATCTCGTTTATGTCAGTCTGCAACTCATCAACTGTCACATTTGTCTGCACTTTACAGGATGGGGGACATATTGACATTTTCTTGGCAAGGCAACTCTAAACAGGCAATAACATTACTGGGCCCCGTTTCACAAAGCTCTCGTAAGCCTAAGATCTTGAAACCTTTCTCACAGCATCCATACCTCCTATGTTACAGTATAAGAGGTACAAATGCTACGAAAAAAGTTACGAGATCTTAGGCTTACGCGAGCTTTGTGAAACAGGGCTCTGGAGGACAGTATTTCCTGGCAATATACCTAACATGCATGAATAGGTAAAATATGTGTTCATATTGGTAAACAATTACATCTCTTGGTCATGTATTCAGGCTTTGATTGCAATCTCTACTGTAGTACAATGACTTTGTCAGAATGAAACTAATTAAATGTTCCATCTAACTGATATCTGCATCGGCCATAGATTGTCTGTGTATTTGCTACTATGTCAACAATTAACATATTTTGGGTCTGAAGTGAAATCAATTCTGTTATGTGTATTACATGAAAAACGTGTTTCTATGAAGATACTCCTTTTGTTTTCAAAATACTTCTACTGGTGACCAGAATGCTGTATCATGCTACAAATGTACCATGAAAGATTTTTATGAAGATAGGAATCCCCCGATTACAAGCTGGTTATTGATGGAACAGAAGGCAAAGAATATGCAGACCTGTTGTGATGTCTCCAGCTGGGTTGTGTATCCTAAGCCATGATCAGCTAGAATCACAGATCACACAGACTAGGGACTACAGAGATACAATGACATGCAGCAAAGGTAGCAAGTCTGATCACCCAGTCCTGTCAGCCAGGTCTAGACAAACAGAGGTTGAACACTTATTGAGAACACAATTTCCAATAATGTGAGACTCCTACGCTGCACCTCTTGAGGGCCCCCTAACCTCCTCCTGAGCCACATGCATGTTGAGATATATCCTGTATCTACCATAAATCAGTTCATTTGAAGGATTTCACATAATAGAAAAATCAGCTGATCATGACCCAACGGGATGCTAACAAATAATGAAACAAAATTCTGATAAAAGTCTGGTAAGAATAAAAAGGTGTAAAAACAGGAAGCATGTGTCAGAACAGAGGAATTACCATTGAAATATGTGCAAAACATGTTGAGAATATACATCTAAGTGTCGTCCTTGATTACCCAGGATAAGTCATCGCCTTACTATTTTGACAAAAACCCTGGATGCCATTGTTCAAAGCTTTGCTAAGGTGACCAAAACTCCTATACCTTAACATAGACTTACGCTAGTCGTAGCGTCTAGAAGTTTGGACATCGGCACCCTGGACCCCATCACCACCATAGTAATGCCATAAGTGAAATTTTCATCTTCATCTTGGCTACGCATCTGTTAGCATGTAGAGAACTGATATGAGTAATTTCACTGGATGGATTTATTTGGAGTGAGTGAGTGAATTTAGTTTTATGCCGCTTTCTGGAATATTCCAGCAATATCACGGCAGGAGGCACCAGAAATGAGCTTCACACATTGTACCAATGTGGGGAATTGATCCCGGGTCTTCGGGTGATGAGCGAACGCTTTAACCACTAGGCTACCCAACTGCCCAGATTTATTTGGACTGTGCCTTTTGAATGAGTTTAGATCGCAGCTTTGATAGCTATTGTTTCCAGGGTATTTATCAAAACAGAATTGAGATGGCACACCCTTGATCATCAAGGATGATGGTTCATGTCCATTACAGCATCATAGATCTATGTTACTGATAAACTAAAACATATCAATTCTTGAACAAACAACAAAAATACATATGTACACGATAAACAAGACATGTAGAAATCAAGATACATAAATAAACATCATTATACTTGTTGTCTCTTTCATTATGTAGCAAATTTCCATCACCATTATTTCTTCTGAAAATTCAACCTTGATTATAAAATTTATAACCCCCACATTTGTAATCAAACTCCACAAAAGTGTTGATTTTATCACAGATATGAATATAATATAACTCATGTGAGCACTTCAAGTCTTCCCACATGACAAGCAAATTTCGCTTGGAATCTTCACCGACAGTTTCTGACACTCAGAGCTCAGTCTCAACCCATCAGCAATACTTCACGGGTACCCAAATATTGAGAAAAAATACCTGAAAAACCCTTCAATAAACTATGTTCCTCCAACACTGGTGAACACACACAGCTACCTTTTGGCATAGTGGTGTGGTGAGGGTGTCTATTTATCGTCAGCTGTTGAAACGATGCCATGAATAACTCATGAAAGTCAACAAGGAACACATTATAAGTGACCTTTGTGTAAATCCTACCATGCCTGACAGGGAAATAGCATGTAGCGCTGACACCAAAATGCACATTGCACACACTACTGACTGTGAATCATAGTTAGTGAGTGAGTGAGTTTTAGTTTAACATCACTTTTATTGAGTGAGTATGGTTTTACGTTGCTTTTAGCAATATTCCAGCAATATCATGACTGGGGACACCAGGAATGGACTTGACACATTGTATCCCTGTGGGGAATCGAACCTGGGGCTTCAGCATGAAGAGTGAATGCTTTAACTACTAGGCTACCCCACCGCCTCTGTGATATTAAATGAGAGCTCACTGGTCTGTGTCTTCCTGATTTCCCACTCATCGAATCAGGACACTACTTAACTGGTTGAAAAGAAGGACTAGATCACAGAAAGTTAACTGTTATGCCGCTATTAGTAATATTCCAGCAATATCACCAAAGGGGACACCAGAAATGGGCTTCACACGCTGTACCATGTGGGGAATCGAACCTAAGTCTTTGCTGAGATGAGTGAACACTTTAACCCCAAGTACATCACAAGGCAGCCATGTGTGTTTTTGGTTGATGAAGGGGCGTTAGTGGATAACAACCTGTGAAAAACTGACGGTGCCCACTTCAGATACTTGTATTTCAGCTTTCAAAAGAATACATTATGTGCTGCATAAACCAGTATGCTGACTCAGTATCAAACATTTTCCTCAACAAACTTCAACATACAGTCACAGAATGAAAACATTTTGGTACTATCACAACAGAAATGACAGGTTTGTTGAAATCAATACATTACAGGAAGTCCTTGAGGTTTGTTCATGTAGTAATTGTACCATCGTTAGGGCTGGCGAATATGATATATAATCGGAAATATCGTCGATAGGAAAAATTATTAATGATTATCAATATGAAAAGTGTGTTATTGATGACATCGTACATTGTCCTTTGTGAAGGAAACAAGTTTTCATTTTCTAACACAAAATACAAATTTAGGTCTGCTTCTAAATTATGTTCAGGATGCTGTTTTGTTTGTAACCATGTGACTCATAGTGACTCACAAGTGATGTGGAATATATTCATTTCTTTCAGGCTCTTTTGGCATTTTTGCTCAAAGTTATGTCTCTGATATTCATCGATAACCAATCGATATTTAGTTAATGATTATCGATCTCTACGATCTCTAAATAGCCAGCCCCAATCATCGTACAAGAGGATTATGACAAGGACCCCTGGACTTTCAAGCTTAATTTCCATCACTGCAAAACCCATAAACAAAATAAACATGTGTTGTTCAGGCCATAATATGATCAAAGCTGATGACAGAAACAGTCTGGTATGGAATGTACCGTTGCAACCTACATCAATCACGGAGCATCCATTTGATTCCAATGGAGGGAAGAGGGGTTTCAAAATTATGCCTGAAATGAATAATTTGATGGCAATGCCAGAAAAAGGAGTAACTTGTGTCATGGAGAATAACCAAACATTAAACATTTTGAGTTGACAGTGAAAATGAATAAATTGTTTGATGGTGTTCAGTGAATTGATCCCAATCAGATTGTTCAGAAACACGAAAACACATTCCCTAAACATACAAATCAAATGGATGCTCCCTAACACGACTATGATCATGTTTGCTTATCAGCAGTAAAGAAGAAAATGTAAAGCTTCTTAAAACAACCAAGATTAACATTGAACAATACAGAGAATGCTCATCCGGTGGCATTTTACCATGGCTCCACTATTCAACACTTGTTCCCATGTCCCATATATGTACAAGTTCTATGTCAGAGAGTTGGCCTCTTGCTCTATCTGCTTCAGAATCTCCTTCTCCAAGTCGTCATCTTCTAAATCAGCCCCTTCATTTACCATCTCATACTCCTGGAGTTCCTGCTGCAGCTCCTTCTCCCACTGGGGTATATCTTCACCTGGAAAACAGAGGGAGAGAGGGGGTTAGAATCAGGATAGTGATCGGTTCACCATCTCATCCACACCTGGAGGTCATCCTTCTGAAGCATATCTTCACCTGGAAAACAGAGGGAGAGAAAAAGGGGTTAGAATCAGGATAGTGATCGGTTCACCATCTCATCTACACCGGGAGGTCATCCTTCTGAGGTACCTTCTCACCTGCAAAACAGAGACAAAAAGTGAGTGAGTTTAGTTTTACGCCGCACACAGCAATATTCCAGCTACAGTAGAACATGGATATAGCGAACACGGATATAGCGTACAAACGGATATAGCGAACAAATTTAAAAGTCCCGTCAACAGTCCTTTATAATATCATTAAAATTATACGTGAATAACGAACTCGTGAGTAGCGAATTAACGGCTATAGCGAACTGATTTACTACCCCCAAGACCCAATTAACGACGTGATTAGCGAACTCACTCAGTGTCAGCTCAGCCACTTAGCCGTACAGTATACATCAATCTTGTTGGCGGTGAATCAACATTGATTGATGGCCATTAATTAATTAACAAAACAAACATATCGTGTTTAACCCATTCAACAACCGTTTTCATTGACGAGGACGGTATCCATTGCCGTAGTATAATTGGCTGCCTTAGGTCACGTGTCTGATTTTGACCAATCACGATCCTTATAGCAGACTGTGGCGAAAAGCGTCATTAGAAACCAATCTTTATCCAATAAAATTGCTTTTTACAACTCTGAAAATACTCTCGGCGAGGGTACAGTGATATTGTTGATGTTCCAGAGCTGTCGAACGATACCAGACACCACACGATTCGCCTCGCATGTTATTCATACGAAGCTTCGAAAACGGAGGTATTTCCCGTTGTTGTGTCGGAAAGCCTCATTACATAAAAATGAAAATATAAAAGAAAAAGGCACGGGCATGTTATGACATGTCACAAATGGAAAAAAAATCACTACAGTTTTTGCTTCTTTCGTGGTTTATCTGGACATTATAAATGTAAGCTTGCATTTTCATTAAAAAATAAATTTATTAAAGTTGTAGTTGTATTATTTCAATTTTATTATAAAAATAAACTTCATATTTATCAACATGATATAGGTAATGTCTGTGAATGTCTACATCTCTACAATCCAAGATGGCGGTCAAATGTGAATAACGAACAACGGATATAGCTAACTAAATTTCTTGGTCCCTTGGAGTTCGTTATATCTGTGTTCTACTGTATATGGCAGCGGTCTGTAAATAATCCAGTTTGGACCAGACAATCCAGTGATCAACAACATGAGCATCGACCGATGCTCTGCGCAATTGGGAACCGATGACATGTGTCAACCAAGTCAGTGAGCCTGACCCCCCGATCCCGTTAGTCGCCTCTTACGAAAAGCATGGGTTACTGAAGATCAATATTCTAACCCGGACCTTCACGGGTAAGAGACGAAGAACAGGGTTTACAATGAAGAATGTGGTCAGTCCTACATCTCATCCACATCTGGAGGTCATCCTTCTGGGGGTATCTCTTCACCTGGAAAACAGAGTAGGGGAGGGGTTGGGGGGAGAAGTGGTGATGTAGTGGTGGTTAAATCAAGACAGTGATCCTTGCACCATCTAACTTTGGAGATCGTACTACTGGAGTATATCCTAGCCTGGAAAATAGAGGGCGAGAAAGGGGTTTGAAGCAAGCTCCTCCTGCAGCTCCTCCTCCCATTGGGATACTCCCTAACCTGTAAAACAGAAAGAGGATGGGGAAACTCTTCTTTTATTCAGTTCACCAACTCCTGGCCTTGTTGTCCCTTCTCCTTCTGCAAGTATAAGACTACTTACAACATTGTCATTAAATATTCCTGTGAATCCTTAGGATTTCGTTTTTATTGAGATAAGGACAGAGTCAGCTTGAATAGGTCATTGTATCACCCTTACATAGATATTTTGATCTATAACAAGTGCAAGCTCTTGTCATCAAAATCTTTGCTAGAGACGTGCTGTTGAAAATGATACACCAACAGAATGACATCCAACCAAATACTGAAGCAATGCGAGACATACATAACAAAAAACAATTCTTTTTACTAAATATTGGTACATAGAATAGCATAAATAAGAAGCAAGTATGTACAATTTATAATGATGGCAAGGATGACACACTGTAGGCAAGGCTGTGTGGAGCTAACATGGTCCATGTGTAGGAATGCACATACAAAACATACAAATGAAAGCAACAAACCCATTCCAATTATTCATTACAATAAATAAAAGAAATAACATAAAATAGAATTGAATGAAAAAAAAAAGCTCCCAAAGTTAAAGAATTTGCAATATATGGATGTTGAGCACTGATTCAAATGTGCAACATTTGGCGGTCAGCTTCTACTTGCATGTAAAAGATAAAAGCAAGGATTAACAGTGGACTCTGAGCTGCCAAAATAAGCCATCTCTTGTACATGTATATACATGCATGAGCTCCATAGCCTGGTAAAAGGGCTTCAAGTGGCATAAGAAAGACATGAGGAAACATGAGTACGAGGTGTGAATGCACAAGCTTTCGGAGTAGGGACATTGGCATGATAAGGCCATGCTAAATTTGAGTGAATGAGTGAGTTTAGTTTTACACCACTGTTTGCAATATTGCACCAGAAATGCACCAGAATATTGCTTCACACATTGTGCCCATGTGGGGAATCGAACCCTGGTCTTCGGTGTCACGAGTGAACTCTTTAACCACTAGGCTTCCCCAACCGCCCATGCTAAATTAGACACTTGATGGGGAGAACTAAGCAGTGTTCCCGGGAGAAGTCCCATTTGGTGGTTTTGCTGATTGTTGAGGAGAAAAAGAGACTGAGCTGATGATGAACACCTGAACCAAGCAGGATTACCTACTACTCCTACTACTATGACTACATAAGTAAGCATGTAAGCAAGCAAGCAAGCAAGCCAGCAAGCAAATTAATATTTATTAACTGCAATACTAAGATGATTCGCTACAAGATCAAAAGCGACGACAAATAGTGTACTTCTCATCCAGATACTGAAAATGCTTCACACCTCACAGTTTTCGACAAATTTGGATCTAATTTTAACATTTAATTAAATATGGCTTTACAGAGTCCACTGTAGGATCAGAATGGTTGAGTAAGGGACTTAAAAAAACATGCACCTTTCTCGGCAGTCATGTCCGAGGGCACCTGAGTTAGGTGAAGATACTGAGCAAAACCAACTGAAAATACACAAAATGAAACAAAACAATAACAAAAAATCACGACAAAAACCTTCAGCAATCAGGGACTCTTGGGAGAAAATGGAGCTGTAACGAATAGCTGAAATAAAAGAAGCACGTAGGTCGTCTTCATCAACTTCCACAATACTGATGATGTTGGTTACTTGCTGGATGTAGTGTTAGAAGTTAGAGGAGATGTCAGGACTCCACTGATATGAAGCCACAGGGTGCCACAGGGAACCGTTCAACCACCACATAGTTAAATGATAAAGCCCACATATAATATGGAGAACCTGTTGATACAGAGGTACTGGTAACTAGCCCTGCCACCAAAGCTGCTGATGAGCTGTGCAATTGTCCAACACCAAGTCAGGTTCAGTTGGGAACCATTACATCCTGCTTATCACTTGTGGATGTCTGCTGATACCGAGACATTGCTGACATATCATAAAGTGACAACTGACACTAATTCGAGAACATGAGTTACGTCCACACAAAGTTGCATCATGACACATTCTGTCCAGGTAACCATTTTCTTCCTATTGATGTTCTCAGTCCAAAATCTGTTGCAATCAAATAATCCTTTCTATTGCCAAGGTATTGCACGATTATGGCTAGTCTGTCTCACAGTCCCGGAACCACATTATTGTCCCTACTGCCTAGCACTCCCTGCAATGGTTAAGCCCTAAATGAAGCAAGTCTAGATTTCCCCTGGCTCAGGCCTGAATCTCCCAACTCACTGGGGCTCCTTTTCAATCCAAGGGGTTTCTTTGTTACTATCAAAATTATATATATTCAGGGACAAAGCATTAGTATAGAATCTTGCCTAGAGTGTTTGTATTTTGCTATTTTAGTTAACCAGCTGTATGACTACACAAGGAACTACTGGCTTCCCAACTGAAAGTGACACACAGGAGCAGCACCAGCAGGTTAGGAAGGTCCCGGAGTGAGTGGATATCCCTGCTTGTCTTACCTACTGCTTCATCTCCATCAGTTCCTCCATCAGCTCCTTCTCCCATTCCTCACTATCCAAATCATCATCATCATCATGGTCTGAAGCATGACACCCAGAACCACCTAAGCATGCAAGTCAGCTGAGCATTTATCAATCATCTCCCTCCACCGCTGGAATTATCTTGGGTATTTTTGTGTGAGTGTTTTCCTTTACTATCTGTGGTAAGGGTTCTACCCTTTTGACTAGCCAAGCAGGGATGTGGCTCTTAGTGACGAGGAGAGGTGCAATTTATATTTCATAAATGATGTTCAGAAATTAAGTAAATTTGTACAGAAACTATCACCAAATTAGTCATTGTCTTTCTATACATCTAAAAGGAATGTTGCACACTCTCCTTTGCCCTCTGAATCAATTGGACACTGACCAAAACAGTTGACTTCATCAATGTCAATGTTCAATGGGAGCACAACATATACAACATAACTTTTGACAGGGATACTCTGAGTGTCCAGGTCACAACTGAATGTGATTCACTGCTAGGATAAGTTGCCATACAAACAGTGTTCAATATTGTCTGGTTACTGACTTAATTTCAGCATCGTTACATGTGGTAAGTAATTCTGCTAAGCTTTCCAACAGTATGAAATATCTATGAATAATATTGTTACATATGTTTCTAGACTGTAGTAAGAATCTGAGGGTAATAATGACTTTTGTCAGAGACAAACAGCACCAGAACATTAACTTTGAGAGATAATTCATCTATGTGTTTACCAAATTGAAATATAATCTTGACATTTTGAAATGTAACAAGTAATGTTGCATACTGAAACCTTGAGTACTTGTCACTCCCATCTACGATTGTTGTTTGATGAATCTGGGTCCCATTTCACAAAGCTATCATAGCTCTTCGACCGTCGTAAGTCTACGTTACAGTATAGGAGGTACGACAGTCGTAGCGCTACGATAGCTTTGTGAAACGAGGCCCTGTAAGTTACTATCAGTGATGGTGAAGGGGAACTGCTGGATGTGACCACTGTAAGGTTGCACTTCAAACACTACACTTTCTGGTAACTGGCTCAGTTCTGGGTGGTCAAATGGCCTAAGAGTGTGCTGATGATGCAAGAAACAAGTGACCACAATAATCTCATGCTGTTGTGTGCATGCAGACATAATAAACTGACAGAAACTGCTACAGACTCTGTGAAGGATTAGTAGAATATTGGAGACCGGTATACAGCATGCTTTGTGTGTGTCCAGGCAACTGACAAGTACCATACCAGCCAACTTAAAGCATCTATAATCACTTGTGTGAATTATTTTGCAGAAGACCATCATGGAGGGCTCTCCATACATTGCTATCAATACCAACTGCATCTGGCCTCTTGATGATTATGAAAACCTGTTTCAAATGTCATGACTTATTACACTTGACCTGCTGCCTATCATTGTCAGACACTTGCTATCTTATGGGACTCAATCCAGCTTGTCTAGATACAAAGATATACAAGATATCTCACATGACACAAGATAGCAGATCACTGTCTACCTCTAACAGGCACCAAATATCAGATGTGACACAATTTAACAGATCAGGCAAGCTATTCTTGAAACGTTCGTAGCCCTACGAACTTCTTAAACCCATTCTGAACACATTGGATACGACAAAAGTTAAGAATTCTTAGGGCTACGAACGTTTCGAGAATAAGGCCCCTGCTGATTACCATCATCATAATAAAGATATCTTACATGACATTATCCAGAATATCTGAACATGCTTTTATAACATACACAAAAGACTAGACATGACACAATCTAGTTGGATGGATATTCCTTCATCATACACAGGACACAATGTTACACTTCTTGACCGACCTCCAAAATACACAAGAGATCAGACACGAGACAACGTCGTTGAAATGACCTTCCTTCATCAGACACAAGACACGTGTCTTGAATTTCTCAATCTTACACGTCTTGACCGACCTCCAAAATACACCAGTGATCTGACATAAGACAATGCCGTTGGAATGATCTTCCTTCAACAGACACAAGACAAAATCAGGTTTTGACATGCCATCTTCACACACAAAGAGATCTGACATGACACAACAAGGGTTCTCAACCTACCTTCTTTCGAGTCGGCCTCCTTCTTGTCCTCCCCGACCCCGAGCTGTTCCATCTCCTTTCTGATGTCCTCCTCACTCAACTCATCAGCGTTGAAAGCATCGCTAACAAACTCATTGTCGGCTGGGGGACTCTCTGGAGGAAGCTCCTCCACCTTCTCAGCAGCCTCCACGGGAACTGTCTTTGGGGAGCTGGAGTCTGGAAGAGAACATATACTTTCATAATGACAGCCCAGATGGCTAAATGTATAGCCTAGGATATCATTGATGCAAACTATTTTATGAGAGATGCTGAATTGTAATGAACTGTCTTTGGGGAACTGGAGTCTGGAAGAGAAAAGATACTTTCATAATGACAGTTCAGATGGCTAAATGTATAGCCTTGGATATCATTGATCCAAACTATTTTATGAGAGATGCTGAATTGTAATGAACTGTCTTTGGGGAACTGGAGTCTGGAAGAGAAAAGATACTTTCATAATGACAGTTCAGATGGCTAAATGTATAGCCTTGGATATCATTGATCCAAACTATTTTATGAGAGATGCTGAATTTAATGAACTGTCTTTGGGATGCTGGAGTCTCAAAGAAGATAGATAAATCTTTAAATATTGGCACCAGAGATGACTGAATATATAGCCTTGGATGTCAATTATCCAAATTATTTTACAACAAACACTTCTTAAGAGATGCTGAATTTATATCCATTTTACTGACAAAAAGAACACAATTGATCAGTTCATTTTAAATAATGTGTTATATACATGTGTGGATGAGCTTCATACAAAGCATTATATATCGTATTCTTTTGACATGAGCCCAGTTCAAAAAAATTCCATTTGCAGTCCCAAAAACCATATCACGTATACAGATATGCAGAAGGTTCTGGAAATATGCTAGTAAGGTTGAAGTTATGAAAAACTACATTCTTGGTACTTTTTAAGTCCAGGTGCATATGTTTAAGCTAGCTGAAGTGTATGCAGAGTCTTCTGAAAATTTCTTGAGTGTGATATACTTTTTTGAAGACCCAAAGATATTACCTGTGACTGAATAACTGAAACAAGAATTTTGACCTATTTCTGGGGATTCATCTGGGTGCTTCTGATACAACCCTAATTCCAGAATCATTTGTTGTAACAATTCTTGCCACCCTCAGGTGTCTGAAGAATATAAGTACAAATAAGAGTGAGTGAGTGAGTTTAGTTTTACTCTGAACTCAGCAATATTCCAACTACATGGCTGCGGTCTGTAAATAATCGAGTCTGGACGCGACAATCCAGTGATCAACAGCATGAGCATCTCTGCAAGCAGTGTTAGTACTGAAGAAGTGATGTATAAAAACACCCGTGTGTCAGTGAATGTGAAGTCTACATCAATATGAGTGAGGGTGAGTGAGTTTAGTTTTACACCGCTTTTAGCAATATTCCAGCAATATCATGATTGGGGGACACCAGAAATGGGCTTCACACATTGTGGGGAATCAAACCCGGGTCTTCGGCACGACGAGTTGAATGCTTTTACCACAAGGCTGTAACCACACCAACCCCCATCAATATGAGGAGATGCCCTAAGCTGTGAACGGAGTCAATATCAACCTGACACTTATACAGCAGTACTTGTGGGAACCAATAAATAACATCTCATAAAACTGGTACTGATGTTCAGCTCCCACAACAGACAGATACACAGATCAAACACCAGCCAATTATTGACTTACACCACATGCTTAAACCAACATAACCACCCACACAAGCTTCCTGATGACTTTAATATCAGATCATTTATCACTTTCTGAGCATTAACCCCAGCAAAAATGTACCTTACATTATCTCAAACGACAGTAAAAGGTTTTAAAAGAAATGTAAGGAAGGTAGAAACACACGTTTCTCTAAATGACTGGATCGGCACAGCTCTCAAACCAGGAAACACATGCAAGCAGCATTTTCACAATGCCCAGTAAAGTCAAATTTTTATACCAGAAATTAGGTTAACTATGCCACATTAAATCTGAGAGCCAGGCCGCACAAAATCAAGTTGCCAGCCAGCAATGTCAGCTATCTTGTACCTTGATGGATTTCATCAGGTTATTTTGATTTTCTGTCTGCACTGTCTAGACGAGTGGCTCAACTGGCCTGCATCAGCCAGACAGATCTTGTTACAAGCTGAACGTTGGCCGATTACCCAGCATTCATTATGCATGCGATCATTAGCTTCTCGCAACTTTTTTACAGGAAGAATGACTGCTTGACTGCTTAATTGGTATAAACAATTTTCAGTCTACAGATTACTGAAAAAGATATGAATATTCAAAGAACGTGGGCTAGTGATAAAAGCAGGATATTCTTTAAAGATTTCTACTCAGGAATCAAGAGGAGGAGGAACTAGTTCATGATGCAAAATGGATAAAAGCTATTGATCACTTCATCACAATTTTGACTCCAGTAATCGAAGGGTTGAAATTAGTCAGAGGGATACAGTTTGTGAGAGTCCATTAGTCATTGCAGAGATATTTATAAAGACCTCCTTTAAAAATCTGGGGATCAAGCCCAAGGCCTGCTGAATGACAAGCAAACACACTGACCACTGTGCTACAGGCAGAGTGAGTCAGTGAGTTGGTTAAATAGTATAATAGTATACTTTGAGTAGTATACAAGTTTAAGCATGGCATGTCAGCTTGATGTGGGAGGAAAGTAGGGCAGGTTTAACACTACGGAAACACCTAAACAAGTATGTCGCTGACAAACATAGGAACATCAGTTGGGGGAACTGTGATTCAACTGAGAGAACTAGGATCCATGTGGCGGGACTGGGATTTAAATGGCAGAACTGGCATTTAACTGGGGGAACTGAGATTTAAATGGCAGCACTGGGATTTAACTGGGGAACTGGAATTCAAGTGGCAGGAACTGGGATTTAACTGGGGAACTGGGATTTAACTGGGGGAACTGGAATTCAAGTGGCAGGAACTGGGATTTAACTGGAGGAACTGGGATTTAACTGGGGAACTGGAATGTGGCAAACTGGAATTTAACAAGGAATTCAAGTTGCAGGAACTGGGATTTAACTGGGGGAACTGGAATTCAAGTGGCAGGAACTGGGATTTAACTGGAGGAACTGGGATTTATCTGTGGGAACTGGAATTCAAGTGGCAGGAACTGGGATTCAACTGGGGGAACTGGGATCAACCAGCAGAACTGAGATTCAATTGGGGAAACTGGAATTCAACAGGTTTCTGGAATGCAGAGTTGACGCAATGCTGCACAAAAAGCCAAGAATTTTATGGATGTCAACTTCTTTATTGTGAAGGGTCATGACGTTTCGAAAGTAAACATTAAATTGCCACCCATGTTACCTTAATCATGCCTGGATTACCAATCCCTGGCTTCCACTTGTCCATCTACCAATTAACTACTGGTTTCCCTTGTTATCCCATAACTGTTGTTGTATTAACATGTACATATCTGTCTGTTCCTACTTGTTTCATTCACCTGATGAAGGAGTAAGAATATACTTCGAAACGTCGTGACCCTTCACAATAAAGAAGTTGACATCCATAAAATTCTTGCCTTTATGTGCAGCAATGAGTCAACACAGCTATCCAGAAACCTTCATTCCCTTCAAAGACTCAATGCTGCCCTGTTAGGCACCATAGATGATTGGGCCGGTTCACACCCGGACTGTCGAATGTTTTATCGAATACACACCAGACTGTTGAAAAGCAGTGGAGCGTGGTAATGCTCAACAATGCTCTAATAACACCCAGAGTGTCGACTGCCTTGGAGAACATGAACCTGTGAATAGCAGAAAGACTGCACTAATCCGCTCTACTCTAATTAACAAGGGAGAAGACATGAGTGCTATTGTGGTTGAAATGAGAAAAGAGTTGAGTTTGAGTTAGATTTGTCACATGAAGCAGATTTGTCACATTTCCTTCTCAATGATACAGGCGGAAGTACACAACTGTTGTTGTTGAAATGAGAAATGTTAACTAGATTTGTATCAGATTTGTCACATTTCATCTCACGGATACATATGTTACTATATAAGCTACCGTATATGACCGTCTATAAGACGACCCCATGGATAAGACGACCCCCAAACTTGACCCTTAAAATCAGTGTTAAAATGGTATGTTTCGTGCATAAGTCGATCCCCAGCGATGGGGTCCTAATCGCGGCAAACACAGACCACAGACAACTGGCAGTTACCAATAATTATAACTTTGGTCCACAATATTCAAAGAATTCACAGTTATATATATTGTGTCTACTCATGGATCGAAACGAAGTGTAGTTGACAGAAAATGCATAATATATTTTGCTTCTCTAAATATCATATTTATTGTAGCAACAAACTGGCTTGCTTATTTTACCCCATTCAACAATCACGAACTGATTACCGCCTCATTTTCCATTGACTGCTAGTTTACAGTAACATCGGTAAAAATGTGTGAATTTAAATGGCTTCCGTATTTTACCCCATTCCATGTGCGTACAACTTCTGCTTACCACGTTCATGAGGGTCCGTATAACCTTAGTGTTGATTATATATATTTTACATAAAAACTGTAATTAAAATTACACAATGCTAGGATATATTTCTTTGGGTTAAATAATAGTATTCTGTATTATATTTTACTGACGACTGCATCAGAATTCATCCCATTATATTATTGTGCATGTTTGAACTTGTTCGCCGGGAAACGTGTGCACAGCTGATTGCTATTTCCGGCTCAAATACACACGGTAATCTTAATCTTAATTAATTTATAGAGCAAAAACTGTAACTAAAATTACACAATGCTAGGATATATTTCTTTGGGTTAAATAGTAGTATTTTGTATTATATTTTACTGATGACCGAGTCAGAATTCATCCCGTTATATTATTGTGCATGTTTGAACTTGTTCGCCGGGAAACGTGTGTACAGCTGTTTGCTATTTCCGGCTCAGATACATACGGTAATCTTAATCCCTGCAAATAATACAATGCCCAGCAAAAACAACTTATAACTTAAAAGGTAAATAATCTTGTCTAGTGATGTTCAATTGCAAATTTGATGTCTCTACTGACAAAGTCGTCTTCTGTTGTTTGTTCACTTGGAAGTCACAATGTTGTTTTCTTACCCCTGTAAAGACTGCTTTTTTGGTCCTCAAAATTCAGCTTATAGACGGTCATATACGGTAGGTAAGTAACATAA